AACAACGAAGAGTTGCCAGTGATGCTAGGAGGAGGGAATATTTCCTTGCCAGCTGTACTCATGTCTTGTCCTGTGAAGAAAATTTTTCATTACTTCCCTGACTTTGCTGTCAGGGAAGTGTGGGGTGAGGATTGTGTTGCAGTGAGGGGTAAATAGCCTGGGATGTCAGCTGCTTTGTTTATGAATGTGGGAGGTGATTGGTGAGGATTTTACTCAGGTGTTGTAGTATAGTGTTCGGAGTAATATGACTAAGAATGTTATAATCAACTAGTATCATTAAGCTCTTACTCAAATCGAGGAATTTGTAATGTAGAGCGAAAGTTTTCGCTCGAAAACTTTCGAAATTGGTTAAGCCAGAAAAGGACCACTTTTCTGGCTTAACCAATCTTACAACATTCTTTCAAAACTGTTAGCGATTAGGCTTTAGGTGGGATTGGTTAAATTTGTGTCGTCAGAACAGTTGTGTGGTGTGCCAGGGAGAGTGATCGTCAGTTGTGACAATGTAATAAGGGACGGACGTGGTGTATGGTTTTTCTGAGTGTAATGCTCCCTTGTCAGTGACAATCTTGGGCTGGTCCAAGACCTTGACTGGAATGATATCGAGTTCTTGTATAAGGTTTCAGGTAGTGGCACTGGATTTTGTTTCTTGGTCTAGAGGCTTTATCATTAGTGTCGAAGCCATGATTGTAAGCGTAATTTCGAGTGAACTTTTTCTGATTAAGCGGTGTCCTCGTCAAGGGTGAGTCTCCTTTTAGTGTTTGATTCTATGTTATTTTTCAAGAGCCTCTGTACTTGACAGGGATGAATAATGTTTATATTGCATCGCCGCTACTTCCATGGTACTCCGTTGTTGGATATGCATATGACACGAGAGTTTGTGTCAACAAAGGCCTATTCAGGAGTTGGAAAGGTTTCAGATGGCCGTTGGTAAGAGAGAGAAGTCTGGTGTGATGGGGTTTGATAGCTGCTGTTCCAAATCCTCCTGGGGTTGGTTCATGATTTCCGGTTGCTGTGCCTGTGAACAAATACATCTATGCCCGGATGATAGGCCGACGCTTCCATGCTAAGTAATAACAACCATATTTTTATAAAAAAAAAAAATAATCATATAAGGTATGGTACACGAAGAGACTAGGTTTTGTTAAGGGATTTTATGTACGTTGGATTCGGGAATGTTTTGGGTCCAGGATAGAATTGAATTCATCACATTTTCTTCAATACCTTCGAACATAATGAGGTTGACTAAAGTACAACAACAGACTATCGTCGGTGATAATACGTCAGTATTTGACGAAGACTTTTATGGTCGTAGAGGCGGTTCTACTATTTATTAATTGATTTCCATATTTGTTTTCATTTAATAAGATCGGTGACTCTTTTTCTTCTAACACTAGGCTCTTGTATTGAAGCCAACTCTTAGGCTATGCTCGTGCAAGCGGCAGTCTACTTCAACCAATCCTCAGGCTGGCCTCGTTAAAGCTGCTGCCAACCCCCAAGCGGTTGTAAGGCTATGCTCGTCCAAAATGAGGCCAACCCCAAACCTAGACTATATAGACTAGTTCATGTATTTCAGTTGCCAATTATTCAGCCCGTCTTCATGAACACTAGCCAAATACTAGATAATCAAACTATCATGTACCCTATGAATAAAAAATACTCATTTTATCTTCAGGGAATGCTCGTCCATCTGGCAACCGACCCCAGAGATGCATTCATCAATTGTAACATACTTTCATATATAATATAATATTATTATATATGAGAGTTCTATGTAAAGTTAGGCACAGGTTAGGTGAGGTGTTTAGGTTTTGTTGGCAATTATTTGCATTTGTCGATCGTGGGTGAAGCATTCATAGAGTTGCCATTCGAACAGAGGTCGTAAGTAAAGCACTATTCGAGAAATGGTCGAACGTCACAGTTGAGTCAGTGTGTCCTCATCGACAAACAGCACCTCCTCATAAACTACGGCCAAATGCTAGTTAATCAAACCAACAAATCCCCTGTTTATGAATGAAAAATGGATTACACACACAACTCACAGCTGATAGCGTTCGAACATTTCTCGAACAGTGTTTCGCTGACGACATCTGTTCGAATTACAATGCAGTAAATGCTTCACCGACGTACTTCAAATGCAAATTATCGCCACCAGAACCTAAATACCTAACCTAATCTATGCCCAACTATACATTGCTCTTTAATGAATAATATTAGTTTATATAGGAGAACAAATCTATTTTTAATACAGTGTGTTAAAATTGATGAATAAGTCTTGGGGGCTGTTGCCGCTTTAACGATCCTGGCCTGAAGAGGTTGTGCGAGTCGAGTGTAAATAGTTTTCATTAATAAACCAGCCCATCCTTGTAAACAAAGGCCAAAATCCATTCCATGCACCCTCCAAACACCCTGTTTGGAGGGCATAAACATTTTTCATTCATAATGAAAAACGGTTTACACACGACTTAGGCAGGGTTGTTGGTAACAAACTGCGTAAGCGTTGTGTGTCGCCGTAGCCTTCCTCCTGCCACTGAAACCGGCGGTGGGAAACGGCTCTAGCGCGATTGCGCCTTGGCCATATTCGCTTAACTCACGGTCATTTAATGGAGCGCCGCCCTGCTCCTTATTGTCCAAATTGCGTTGTCCCTTTTACCGTCGTGCATATCCTTGTTGAATGTCCTGACTTCCAGGACGAGCGTGTCTTGCTTTCCGACTGTCCCTCGCGGTCACTTGTCCCTTGTTAGAATTCTTGGTAACTCGGATACTTTTGATATCATTCGCCTAATACGTTTCTGTTTTCGTATTGGCATTCTTGGTGATATTTAGCGCCCTCTGATTATCCCGCACATTTGATGATGCTACATAGCCTTCCCGGTTTGGTGCCTTCTTTTGATAATTACTTACACACGACTCTCAATTGATGACGTTCGAACACTTCTCGAACAAGTGCTTTGCTGACGACTTTTGTTCGAACAACGCTGTAAATGCTTCACTCACAAATACAAATAATCAACACAACCTAAACACCTAATTTAACCTAACTAGTGCCTAAATATGCACAGTGTGCTAATATATAACGATATTAATTTATATTTTAGAAAATTCCTATTTTGAATGAACTGCATGTTAATATTGATGAATGCATTTTTGGGGTCAACCGCTGGATGGAATGGACTTGATCAGAGGATGGGTTGAATAAAAAGGTGTTCTGGCAGCTTTGTTAAATCTTGTCATATTAACGTTAGCTATAGTTTGTTTTCGTACTTCTGTTATAGAGTGCAGGATAGATTATCTTAAACAGTGTTGAGCAGAAATATTTACACTGAAAGGAGAACACAATTTCTCGGCATATATACACTAAGAGTTTACCAAGAGCCTTATTGGGGCCTGAAGTATACTTGCTGGTTGATAATTATGCTGTTTTGGTAGTCTGGATAACCCCACAGAGGCCAATAGATCTTTAACACCTGAGCAATCAGTGTTTGAAGTTCAATTTTATTTTTTATTTTAACATGCATGCGCATAAGTACAATAAAAGCAAAACAAAAAACAAACTAGAACAAAACAAGTAGAGCACAGAAGTACAAACGTACAAACTCGCAAAATTACAAAATAACAAAAGGTCTAAAGTACAAAACACCGGCCTGAAGGGCCGACAACAAAAACACAACAATAATTACAAACACAGGAAAACAGTACAGAAAGGTCAACAGTGCAGCACATAGCACCCAAACCCTCACCCAACAACCCTAACACCGGAACATAATTATACAAAACGAGCGTACAGGTCCCGTAAACCACACACGGAGAGGCACTAATACATAATGATGATAAAAACAAGAAAGGGAATACAAATATAGAACACAGAAACAAAGAAAACTACAACCGCAACACATAAGAACAAAAACAGGCTGGGCCGTGCAAGCAGCCCGAAGGGCACGCAACACCACACAAACAAGCGCACAACCAATACAATTAAAAAAAACCACAAACATAAAAACTTATTAACAGGACATCCTCAACCAGACACACAAACACCGGAGCGCACAGGAACCGGACAGACACACACAATTCACACTAATAAATCCTCAACCACAAACCGGAGCATGCAGGAACCTGGAAAACACACCAGCCCCACCCCACACACACACATACGACCAGCACTCCACAACCACGCACACAAATGGAAACAAACCACAACACACAGCAAACAAAGAAATCACGAGCGAGGAATACATTTCTCAGAGACAGGAACATATTTTTCAGGGAACTCATCCCAAGGATACTTCTGCTTATAGGCCTCCCAAATCAAATACTCCATGTTGGTAGGGGGGACGATCCCCCTGCCTCCACAGGGCTTGCATAAGCTCAGAAATCACCAAGTCAGGTGGAAACGGCCACTTCCTAAGTTCACCGTCACAAGTCGCATAACGAAGCAGGGTAGGGCCAAACACCCTCTCCGAGGAAGCAGAAGACACCGAAGAAGCGTAGGTAGGCCGCTGAGATGGCGCCGCCACCGAACACACAGGAGAAGGCGATGGCTGCCGAGACGGTAACACCACCGACACCGCAGGAGATACAGAAGAGACGGCCGAAGACGGAAGAGGCGTCAAAGCCGCCACTGAGGAAACGGGGAACGAGGAAGGGGGCTCAGGAACCTCAGAGCGAGCAACATTTTTCACCACCACCAGGTCACTACGCGCACCATGAACCTCATCAGGGGAAACCACCTGCCCATGAAGAACCGGAACCAACCGACGTGGGTGACACACAACAGAAGCATGATCCACAGGCACCACACCAGAAGGAGAGGCCGAAACACCGATACCGGCAACCGCAGGTACATGCACCTCTGCCACCACCGTAGAATGCGACGCACCGGAGTTACCCGGTCGTCGCCGGAAGATCCACAGTCGTTTAATTTACCAACATCAGCCCAGGAAGAAGAAGAACGCCGGGAACGCTTAGGCTCCGGCCGCACATCATCAGATACGGAGGCTGAC